AATGAAAGTTGGTGGAGCAGATTGTATTGCACTCAACCAACCCTACACATTTGGTTTTGTGACATTGATTACAATTCCACATTGTCTCCTTACTCTCCCACCATGTCTCTGTGGTTCTTGTTTCCTCTCATCCCTCCGTCCTTCCTACATTCCGAAGTTTACGCTTGGATACACGCTGCCCTTTTGGATGTAATCTAACACTCATTTTTCATCTTTACTTTTTCATTCTAGGGCTGCTATAACAGAAATGTCACAAATGGGTGGTGTTAGCAAAAATTTTATCACAATTTAGGAGGCTGCAAGTCAGAATTCAAGGCACTGGTTCTAGGGGAAGGTGTTCTCTGTCCACTGGCTCTGGGTCAGGTTGTTGGCCTGGCCCTGCTTCTGTTCCATGATGATCTCCACATAGGTGGATGGCGGCTCTTTTCCCCACCTCAGCTGTATGGCCACTCTGGCTTCTGTAATCTGCTCTTTCATGTTTCAAGAGACAGACTGAAGGCACACTCTAATGCTGTCTCATGAACATAGCAGAGAACTTCTGTTCCCCAATGGGATCTGATCACAAATATAGAAATATAGGGGTTAGGCTTTACAACACATAGTTGGGGGGACATTTTTCAACCTCTAACGGTCTCTTTTCTTCTGTGGCAGCTGGACAACTCCTTCAGACACTAAGTTTGGTTTTCTTTGGTTATAAGGAACATTTTTGGATGTATGTGACATAGTAAAATGTAAAGGGTTGGGTGTACACGCATGTGTGTGTGTGTATGGCCATGAGGACTTGCTAACTGGGTAAATACAGTCCTGGTCTCTCTGCTGGTAAAGATATGGGATAGGGAGAAAGGGGTGTTATACATTAAACTGTGTCCCTCAAATATATTATTTGGAATCCTAACTCCCTATGCTTATGGATGAAGTTCCATTTGGGAACAGAGTTTATTTGCTATGTTAACAAAGCCATGTTATATAGAGTGTGCCCTAAATCTAATCACTTCTGAGTTACAGAAAAAGATTAGCCACAGATATACATGCACACATGGGGAATAGGTGCCCCAGGAAGCCTGTGAAAGTCATGGAACCAAGGTATGCCTGGGGCGACCTACAAGGAAGGAATCAACATAGGCGAGACCCTAATATTGACTCCTAACTTCCAGAACTGTGGAATCAAAAACTTCTGTTCTCATAAGCCACCCACTTCTGGTACTGCTGTACCAGGAGACTAAGGCAGTTCCCCAGGTAGCCTGGAGGATAAACTGGTTTCCAGAGACCCCTGGGGAAAGGAAAGGGAGATTACAATGGAAATGGAACTGATTCTTTTGTGGGTACCCTTTTCCAAAGCGTCATTAAGTGTTAGGTGTGGGCCCGGTTCCTCCCAGACACCACTAGATAGTGGGGTGACTCCCTGACGTTCTGAGGGTCTGCCTCCCACTGGTGGTGAAAGTGACAGCTTGCTAGCAGTCACTTGCTGACAGGGACTGACACATCCCCCAGCTCACATCCACTGTCTTCCATCAGTTTCTTAAGACCAAGATTCTTGTCTGAGTGACTCATTGAAGGCATGCTTTTAGGAGAAGCCCTGTGAGAAAGTGATGGGCTGGGTGATTCTCTGGAGAAGGGGTCAGCTGTGGACCATTCACAGTCACCCCTCAGGGCAGCTGTCACAGGGCTCCCCAGAGACCGTTTGGATCCTGGGAATGTGCTGCTTCTTCCTGAGGGGATGGCAGATGGCATGCCACCTATAAAGTACCAGCATTTCTCCTCTGAATAGACTCGAGGGCTTGTAAGAGAACTGAACTCTGCAGCAGGCCGCCTACATCTTGAAAGTCAGCATTTGCAGCGAGTGACTAGTGTAGTGACATGCACAAATCTCCCACCGAGGGGTGGCCTGTTTGAACAGAACTTCCGGGCCCCCGTGGTGTGGATATGCACAAAGCCCATGTGCGCCCCACACTGCCCGGCCTCCACTCACTTGGGAACTTCCTCCAGCCACAGAGCTCCGTCAGTGCTCCTTCATCCAAATCTGGTTTGCTCATTTTCCCTCCTGGGCTTTGTGCCCATCCAAACACATTCTCAGCAGGACCCCACAGGCTCCTTTCATTCTTCTCTGGGGCCCAGAAAATGCAAATATACAACTCACTGCATTTGCAAAGGCCCGGGACTGACCCTCACAGTGGGCTTTAAGGCCTTGGCAGGCCTGGCTTCCAGATGTCCCTATGGGGGTGGTGTGTGTGTGTGTGTGTGTGTGTGTGTGTGTGTGTGCGCGCGCGCGCACAGGCAAGGGGAAAGTGACGTGAAATTCAACAAGCTCTTTGCTGGCTCAGGTCAACAGGGGAACAGCTCGTTTGTGAACTGCTGAATGAAACCTTCAGCCCCGAGATGTCAGCCACCAGGTTGCCGGCCTTTCTATTCATAGCCCTGGAGGCAAGGCTGCTTGAGATTAGAAATTAGGACAATGGAAGACTGCCCTGGAGTTGGGGTGATATCAAAGTTCCCCATTGACTTCAAGTAAATGTAAGGCTGAGGATTCTCTTAGATGAGAACCAAATCCTCATGAAGATGTTAGACATGGAACTACACGTTCCTGTGGTTCTCTGCTGTGAGCTAGAACTCATTTATCCACACTGATGGCTTTAAAGTGTGTCACCCATGACCCCATGACCTCTCGTCCTCTCTACATTATGTGTGGAAGGATGTGGTCTCTGCCTGCTACCCCATCTGTTCACAGTGCATCCCTTCCTGACTCACCTTGTTGCCCACCCCTCCCATCTGTCACTGACTCGTGCAGGGGAGGGTCACTGTGAAAGGGCAGAGGCAAGGCGAGGGGATGCCAACCCTGATGCACCTCATTCTCCCCTTCTCTCCACTGAGCTGGAACCCCAGCCTTTCTGCCAGTGGCCACCATTCTCTATCTGCTTCACCGTTGGTAAACTGCCCCAGACAGCTCGCCAATTCGACAGCTGGACCAGTTGGTAAGAGATTACCACAGTCCACACTCTCTGTACTCTGCTTCCTGAAGGCAGGTACCTCACACGTGTGACCTGAGAGTCTAAATGAGAAACTCCCACGTAATAACTAATTGTGGCATGTCTGGGTCCGCTCCAACGCTTTCTTGGATTTGGGACCAATACTTAATCTGTCAGGTTTTAGCTTCCTCATTCACAATGTGGAATTCACATGCGCCTGTTTGCATGAGTGATTGATGATTAAACAAGATAAGGCAGGAAGAGAGAGGGTTCATTCAGAATAGGCATATGACAGGATCATTTTTATTCATCAAGTCACATTCCCCTCATAGTGACCTCATGTTTATCAAAACAGAGCTGTGCCCGCAGCCCCCAGGGTTTTTTAAATTTTATTTATTTATTTTATTTTATTTTTTTTGTAGCACATTACCTGGCTTTTCTTCCAAGACACTGCCAGGTGTATTTGAACCTACAATCTTTCCTTTAATGCCAAGAGCATTAATTCTTTGCATCACTCAGGGACTCCTCTCTAAGTCCCATTGGGGCAAAAAAGAAAAAAATATATTTTCTTACCCTCTACCCTTGATGAGATGGATTGACCCAGTGACTGGGGTAACGGGGATAGGTGTGTCAGAGACAATAAGTTTGGCTGAGGATAGAGCAGGGTTCAGAGCTGTTGTACATAGGGTCGCTATTAATCACCAATGACTCAATGGCACATAGCAAAAACAACCACAATAACAACAACTCTATTCCACAACTAAACGCCTTTTGTTCAAAGGGTGTGTTTCCCCAAGAACCCTCTCATTAGTTCTTCCATTGGGAGGCTCAATCTCCCTAATCTTCTTTGTTTCACCTCCTCATCAGCTTCATATGGAAAAAGCATTTATATTAAGTATTTGTTAACTAACCTCACTTTATCCTTGTCTGTGGGGATGCTGGTAAACTGGTTAGTTGCTTGCTGGTTTGAACTCTAAACTAGGAGCTGGCAATTTTTCCTTTTTCTGTCAAGAACCAGACAGTAAATATTTTAGGTTTTATTGACCATACAAATAATTTGTGGATCATATGCATCCTGTCAGCTGTTCTTACAGAGTTCTGGAGCTAAGAATAGCTTTTAATTTACATTTAGAAATGATGAATATAAAAAAGGAGAGGAGAGAGAAGTACAGAAGAAGGAGAATGGAGGAAAAGAAAAAGGAGTAAATGAAGGATAAGAAAATGAATTGTGACATGTGAAAGTGAAATGAAATCATGCTTCAGTGTTGATAGTTTTATTGGAACACAGCCATTTCTATTTGCTTATATGTTCTGTGTGGTTGTTTCCACTGTACAGAGACAGAGTTGAATAACTGTGAAAGAGACCAGGTGGTCCAAAAAGTCTAAAATGTTTGCCACCTGATTCTTTACTGAAAAAGTTTGCTGACTTTCATCAGCATTGAACACGTAGTTTATGAGTTTCTGTTTGGAATGCATCTGGAGTGAGAATCAGTCTATTTCCCATTAGAGACTTTCCATTTACTCATATTTAAAATGGGGATAATAGTAAGAAGTTGTGCTGCAATTCTGGAGGCACAGGGTTCAAATCCACTGCTCCACGGGAGAAGGTTGGGCAATCTCCTTTCATGTGATTTACTGTCTCTAAAAAACACACTGAAGGGTCAGCTACGAGTTGGTTCCAAACCCACAGCAAATAACAAGTACTTTCTCCTGAAGTTGTGAAAATTAAATGGCTTAATATTTGAAAATCAGCTAGAACAGTACCTAGCATTTTTATGTGCTCAATAAATAAGAACTCCAGTTATGTTAATGAATAGACATAAATGTAAATAAATACAGAAAACAAAGACTTCCTCCCTCCTAATTTATTTTGGAATGCGCTGTAAACAGTTTGAAATGTCCATTTTAATACCTCTCTGGCTTCACCTGTCTTGGATGACACGACAAATTCTCCTTCATAGAAGGTACAGAACTGGAGGGGCATTCCGGATCCTTCCCTCTTCAGAAAGTGTGGCTGCATCCAGATGCATCTGGTTTTCAGTAGAACTGGCTCATGTTTCTTGGGAGCGAGGTGTCCAAACCACTGTTCATCCAAATTTCCTGAATGATCTGCTCTCTGCGCTCAATCCTTTCTGCGAGCTCGGCAGCTTCTATGGAACTGTAGGCAGGATAGGAAGTCCTACAAATCCCTGAGAGCTCTCCTGGAAAATCAGAGTCTGAGGAGCCCTCCTCTTCCTCCTCGTCCTCGCTGTTCTCCTCAACCTTGTCACCTCCCGCCATCAGGTGCTCCCTCCCCAGCTGCAGCTCCCGGAAGTCCTTGGTGCAGGACACTCTGATGACCAAGGCACACAAGGTGAGGACCAGGCCAATGCAGACGCTGGACACAAACAGCAGGGCGGCTCTCTCGGGGTGCGCTGTGGGGAGAGAAGACAAGTCAGGACATGTGAGGAGCTGAGCCTTCTCCAGCTCTAAGTTCCACCGGCACAGATGGCCACCATGGCAGGGGGCTACTTACGAAGGCCAGTGCTGTACAGTAGGAGATCAGCTACCTGACTGGTCACATAGTCCTTTCGATTAAAAAAACCCAACCTTTTTTTTTAGAATATAAAGCCAATACATGTATGTATATGAGAGGTTACAGCAGAGAGAGTCGAGACTCAGATCCCCAGAGTTCAAACTGGCCACTCACTGGCTCCATGTTTTTCAACAAATCTCTCAATCTGTTTGTGTCTCAGTTTCCTCATCTGTAAACAAGAGATAACAAAACTTTCTTCATAGTTATTGTGATGAAGTGAGCTAATTCATGAAAGAACACCCCCTGATACAGTAAATGTTCATTCAAGTAGTAGCAATCATTAGTGAAGACTGTGGAGGATTAATTTATGTATGAAGTATATATGTAAGTGTGAGTGCTAATATCCCAAGTGGCATCAGAGCTTAGTTTCTTTCCTTTTTAAAAGATTGTTGTTGTGTTGTTGTATACCAAAGAGTCAGAAACAACCCATAGCTGTCCCTCTAGCGGATTTTCTAACAGTTAAGGATTGCCCATCCTTCTCCCACGGAACAGCTGGTGGCCTCGAATTGTGTGCCTTTGGAATTGCGGTGCAGCTTCTTGCCTCTAGGCCACCAGAGCTCCCTCTTAAAGATTAGAAAAGAAATACACACAAAAGTTCTAGTCATTTTTTCTGCATGTTAAACTGTACACTTACTTTTCACCTATCAACTATCTCATTATCCCACATTTTGCATTTATGATGATAGTAGAAATCTACCATCTATTTTTCCCCCCACAACTACATACAACTGGTAGCAGTGAAAGTCAAGATAAGGGAAGAGTAATGCTGACTATAAAGCTGAGGTTATTGGTTAACTTGGGTGGGCCATGATTCTGAGTAGCTTATAAATTCTATATAATGATGTAAGTTATGTAATATAATGCTTTATATAATGATAGAGCCATTTTTTCATTTTTAAATAATGATTTATATGGATTTCTGCATAAAAAAAAAATCCTTAACCAAGTGCGTGGTTCAAATCCACCAGATTCTCTGCTGGAGAAGGAAGGGCAATCTCCTCCTGTGCCAGTCTGATGGTACACAACAAGAAAAAACCAAAAACTAAACCAAGTCAGTAAGTGCAGAATGGATATATAATAATAATAGAAATAAAAATAACATTAATATAATTATGTGCATTGGTCTTACTTTTTACATATATCTAATCCTATATAGTGTTCTGGGATTCCCATGCCTCTCAATGTGAGCCATAATTTGTTATGTGTGAAACACACAGCCAAGTGCCTTTGCATAGTCAATAAAACACAACTAGACATAGTCTCTGCTTTCAGTCAGGAGCCATCTGGCATAGCCTCTTCTAAATCCAGCTTGAACATCTGATAATTCCCTGTCTACGTATTTTTCTAAACCTGTTCTTGAGAAACCTTTACCTAGACCATTAGGCGGTGGTACAAACAGAGCAAGACAATACTGTGTGGTTTAAAATTAGGAAATACACTTTAACCTGCATGCTGAGGAAATTTTTCGAGAAACTAGACTCTATGAAGAAAAAATGTGGCATGAGGATTGAAGAAAGACTTATCAATAATCTTCATTATGTGGATGACACAAGCTTGCTTGCTGAAAGTGAGGAAGGCTTGAATCATTTGCTGCAGAAGGTCAAACACTGCTGCGTTCAATATGGATTGCATTTCAATGTTAAGAAAACTAAAATCCTCACCACTGGACTGATAGGCAACATCATGATGGACAGAGAGAGGACTCAGACTGTCAACAACTTCATTTTACTTGGATCCACAACAAATACTCTTGGTACCAACAGTCAAGAGATCAGGAGCGTTTTGCACTGGGAAAGTCTGTAGTCAGGGACCTCTCCAAACTATTGAGGAGTAATGATGTCAGTTTGAAGACTAAGGTGCACGTAATTCAGGCTATGGTCTTTTCAGTCACTTGCTATGCATCTGAGAGCTGGACAATGAATAAGGATGACAGAAGAATTGATGCCTTTGAGCTGTGGTGTTAGAGAAGAGTGCTGAAGAACCCATGAATTGCCAAAAGAACAGACAGATATGTTTTGGAGAATGTGCAGCCAGCCTGCTCCTTGGGGGTAAAGATGATAAAACTTCATCTCACATACTTTGGACATGCCGTTAGGAGAAGTTATTCCTTGGAGAAGGACATTATGTATGGGAAGGTGGACGGTTGGCTAAAGAGAGGGAGATTCTCAACCATAGTGACTGAGGCAATGGGCTGGAATGTGTCAGAGATTGTAAGGATGACATGAGAAAGGACAATGTTCAAAATGATTGTTCATAGGGTTGCTATGAGTTGTACCTGACTCAACAACAACAACAACACAATCTTGTGTAGAAAGGATTATTACCATTATTGCTATTCTTGTTTAACAGTGGTGTATTCTTGGGGATTTTGCACCTACACTCTAGGAAACAGCATCCAGTTGCTTCTTCGTAAAATAATTCCAGAAACGGCAAACCTCTGCAAATGGTCAGATATTTCAGGACTGATGATCTATATTGTCATCCCTGCGGCAATTACTCAACTATATCTTTATAGTATAAAAGCAATCATGGGCATAATGGCCATGGCTATACACCCATAAAACTTTATTTATAAAAGTAGGAGTAAGCTGGATTTGGTCCATGGATCATAGTGAGCTGACCTCTGATACAGGCTAAGGCTGAAGGACAGAAGGGGCACTGCTGACATCGTTAGCAGAACCAGGGCTGGAACCTGCACCGTGAGGGGCATGAACTTGATACTAGTACATCTGCACCTCCTGGGTCCTCCAGGCACAGTGCCTCCCCCATTTTATCATGGTTAAAAAATAATGATGTTTATCTCTGCTGCCTCTGTTCCTCTCTAGAGTACTGTCTAGAGTTTAAAACCTTGAGAGTTGTTAAGTTTCTTGTACTGCCAAGGGATCCAACCTCTATGATCTGATGGGAGAAAACTAAGTGGGACACCTTATCTTCTTGAAATGTAAAACTTCTCTCAGCTTCCTTCAATTTCAATTCAAGTCATCTGTGGAGTCACTGGACTCAAACATATTTTCTTTGTTGCAATCACTCATCCTAGTACATTTTCATGGCTGTCTTTAAAAGAAAGAAGCCTGAATACAAAATTTTGGCTGGCAGAGTGAGAGAGGGCAGTAACAGATTATATGAGTACTATTTATAATCTTATTGATACAAATACATTTCCCCCCCCCAGAGTCCAATTATTTTGAAGACTTGATCAAATAGAGATATATATCCATTGAGAGGAGTCCTTCTGTGTTTTGCTGCTAACTGAAAAGCTGATTCACCTGGAGCATCTCAGAAGAAAGGTCTGAGTCTCTATTGTATTGCTGTTACGTGTCTAGTCCCCTGTGACTCACAGTGACCCCCTATGCACATTAGCTCTGAAGCCTGCCCTGTCCTTAGCCATACTCACAGACTCCCAACATATCTAACCCATTGCTTCAATCCTTCTCATCTGGGGTCTTCCTCTCCTGTGCTGTCCCTCAACCCTTCCAAACAAGATGTTCTCCAAGGACTGGTCCCTCATGGCCACATGCCCAATGTATTTGAGATAGAGCTTCAAAATCCTAGCCTCCAAGAAAATTTGGCTTCACCATTTCAAAGACAGATTTATTTGTTCTCTTGTTGGTCTAAGGTATGTTCAATACTCTCTTCCAGCACCACAACTCAAAGGCATCAATTCTTCTTCTGTTATCCTTAGTCATCGTCCAGCTCTCTGATGCAGAACAAGTGATTGTGAAGACCATGGCCTTAGTCACTAGACTGACATCATTACTCTTTAGCACTTTGGAGAGTTCCTTGACAGCAGACTTCTCTTATACAATTTGTCTTTTGATTTACTGACTGTTGGTGTCAAGAGTGTTGGTTGTAGAAATTTCATATGACCTAACTATATTTGGAATATACCCCAAGAAAATGAGAAATGAGGCACAAACAGAAACTTGTATACCAATGTTCATAGCAGTATTATTCACCATTGTAAGAATATAGAAACAGCCCAAATGTACAACAACAAATAAATGGATTAAAAAATTATGGTTAACATGATGGAATACCAGGAGTAATGATTTTATAAATTACTATCTAAATTAGGAAGGACTGGTGAGTATTATGCTAAGTGAACTAACTCAGTCCCATAAGGGAAATACTGTATAAGACCATTATTGTAGAGATAGAAAGATAACTAGTAAAACTTGTATGAGTACCTAAGGGGGGAAAGGGAAGTAGGGTGGGGGGGTGAGAATCATGGAGTTGCACAGGTTGATGGGGGGTTGGGGGTATCTGGTGTGAGGGGCAATGTATACAGGCTTTGTGGGTAATCCAGTGTAAACTAAAAACAAAAAAAAATTGCAAGAAACTAAAAAAAAACAACCCAACAATAAAACAAAACAAAAAGACTGATTGTGGAACTGAACAAGCTGAAATTTTTAACCATCTCAGGCTCTCCTCCATCCATCATGATGCTGCCAATTGGCTAAGTGGTGAGAATCTTTTTCTTCTTGATGTTGAGCTTCAATCCATATTGAAGGCGGCAGTCCTTGACCTTTTGCAGCAACTGCTTCTAGTACTCCTCAGTTTCGGTAAGCAAGGCTGTGTCATTTGTGTAACATAGGCTGTTGATAAGTCTTCCTCCAATCCTGACGTCACATTCCTCCTCATAAAGTCCAGCCTCCCAGATGATCTGTTCTGCACATAGAATGAAAAGGTATGGAGACAGGACACATCTCTGATGCACTTCCTTCCTGATTTTGAACCATGCAGTGTTTCCTTGCTCTGTTCTTAAGACTGCTTCCTGGTCTGAGTATAGGTTTCACATGAGCACAATCAAGTGTTCTGGGATTCCCATTCTTCTCAAGG